CTGCTGAATATTTTCCATGATATTCCACCAATATCAGTGTGTATCCTAGTTTGTTGTGGGAAAAGGCTGAACAAATCCTGAATTCTATTGTATAACAAATCGGCATTTGAAGTGGTAGAATCAGCATCCCATGATTTACCAAACTTGGCCCTCACTCACTGTTTGAGGATATCAGCCCAAAATTACTGCGATGATTAGGATTCGGGTAACTATCCCAAAATGACCTGATTTCGGCCGGTGAATTACCATTATTCATTCAACTAGTTGTATGGTTCAAAATGGGGGATGTTCCATTGCCAGATTACACTATCGTCAGATTTGTATGTGTGGAATGCTGGTTGGATGTCTCTCATAGTTCCCTTTGCACAGACCTGTGTCATCAGATTGGTTGACTGTCAATTTCATTTCATGACCATCCAGCAAATTATACAATTGAAGTAAGGGCAGTTCTTGGTTGACCTTTTGTTTAGTTCTGTTTGATATAAGATTTTGCCATTTTAATGGTGGTTAAGTGTTAATTATCATTTAGTCTAAAACACATGATTTATATCATGAATTTGATGAAGACAACATGACTATAGATACACTAGTACATGCCTGAATTCATTCAATTTGACTCTAAACTATGTACGCTCCAAATCACCATTGTTTTATGTGGTATAAACCATCCCCAGTCATGGGAGTTGTTTATGGCAGCCAAAGTCAGAGTTTCAGCCCAGAAATCATGAGGTTTCACCTCGAGCACGGTGACGGACACGTCCACCAGCATCACCTTAACCTCCAGCAGCAGTACCAGGACGGGCTGCTGCAGCCGGAAAGCGCGAGACTTTCCAAGAAAAAGGGTGGGGAATACATGGGAATCCTGCACATGGGCATACATGAAGATCGATGAACTGATGGATTTGACTAGTAAAAGATAGTCAAAGATAGTAAAAGTATGTATGGATGTGTGCCTGTGCAGACTTTGACGATTTTGGAGGTGAATCAAGCGAGTGATGGGCTGATAGATTTAGCAATGTCGATGGAAGATTTCATATCCCATGATCCCACCAAAACTGGAATTGTTCATGGATTTTGGGCGGTATGGAAGCAGCCCTTAACCCTGGCATTTAATTTGCCCGTGGCAACTGTTCCACCCTGGAACCCACAGAAAGAAAGGGTTATGAAGGGCACATGACTTTAAAGCTCGCATCGGTACTTACAGCGCATGTTCACCCCAGTTTCCCGACCATAAACGCTACGGATTAAAAGTCAACAGGATATCCTGTAGATCTACCGGGCTCTCAAACGGATTCAAGCGGCACCTAAATTTTGGTGGATCACCAAGTCTCGCAGTCTTACTTTCCACATTTTTCCACCTTGCCCTCGTCAATCCTCATGGCTCAGTTCCACCAGCAGCTGGACGACTTCTAGCACCAGCTTCACCAGCTCCAGCAGTTCGAGCACCAGCTCCAGCAGTTCGAGCACCAGCTCCAGCAGTTCGAGCACCAGCTCCAGCAGTTCGAGCACCACCAGCAGCAGCAGCACGTGGAGTGCCACCAGCACTGACACCTCTACCAGTAGCTTCAGTAGCTCGTGGACTTCGACTAGCTGGACTTCGACCGCGACCAGGAGTATGAAGCTAGGATTCTGTTGATGAGTTGATGATTATTTTTCTGGCACTAATGGTCAAAACATCTCGCGGAATTCGGGACGGAATGAGGATATACTATACATATATATAATTAGATAATAGAATATATTTTTTTTTGGATCATTATATATGGATCTATAGGTCAAAATGGCGCTGGAACCCCCGATTGACTGGTCCCATGATAGCCAATTTTCCGGACCCGCCTCCTGTATCCTGGTTTGATGGCTTCGGGTATTTGTTGGGACTCCAGCCAAACTCCAGCCATACTTGGGGATCATTGTCGCCCCAATTCCAATTGACAACTGTTGTGGCTTGCAGGTAGTTTCAGAAATTCCTTTGCCTGTTGGGATCGCCAACTTCACTTGCACTCCAGTAACCAACCCTCTGGTAGTGGGAACTCCGCACTTCCAACCGGGCATCTACAAAAGAAATAAACTGGATAGAATTGGGGATGCTCGTAGATTTTCCATTGCCGGGCTGGTTTTCCAGAGGGTATTTTTGGTCAACAAGTCTAAGAATCCTTTTTATCCACCTTTTGCATCCTTTTGCCTTTAATTGGAACGAACTTGCTGTGCCCGGACTTAAGTCATAAACATAAAGGTAATTATATACTCCTGGGATGTACCCCTATTTGGAATCACCGGAATCTCCAGGAATGGGGTTTGACGGTTTGGAGGGCCCATTAGTTTGTGCCGTTTTGAGGACTTCCAGCTCCACTATCACATCTATCACGAACTCGACCACCTCCACCTCGACCACCTCCACCTCGACCACTTTCACAACCACAACGATCAGCACCAGCACTTGGAGTGAGACAAGCAGCGCCACATCCGCCACATCCGGCACCACCCTCTCCAGCTCCAGGACTGGTTTTGCTCAGTTTTCTTCACCACTCGCAATAGAAATCATGATTTAAAGAAGAGATTGCTGATGTGTCTATACACTATACACATCTAATATCTGCTAGTATTGTCTATATAATTGCACGCCAGTATTTTAGTATATTTTAGTATATAACACGCATATATTGTATGCAGATGTTTGCCACATGTGTACTTACATAATCTTATATATATATATATGTTTACACATGCACACACGTGCTTTAGGTATATGGACATACAATTGCATGTTTGAATATGAATCAGCATGTTGCGTTACATGCATACAATTTTGATAATAATATATATATATATATATATATAAATATATAAATATATATATATATATATATAAATATATATATATATATATATATAAATATATATATATATATTAGTATACATATACGTTTATTATATTATGTATACTTGTGTGTGTGTGTGTTACATTTGGTACGATATGAAGGTATGAACAACCAGAACCATTTGCTCCATGTGTGGTATATTGATGCATACATGAATGTGCATTTTTTAAGGTACACCAATTATTATGAACGAGGGTGAATAGTCCATAGCATTTAGGTGCACTCGGGATTTTTGGAAAATAACTCCAAGCCTATCTTTGTTTGAGCATGGTCCCTCCTTGTTGTCAAGTTTCTGTTCAAGCTTCCAAATTGAAAACACATGAAGAAACACTTATATAATGTAATTAGTAAACCCAATACTGCGGGTAAAACAATAATGCACCATCCCCCAATTTCACCATAAATACGTGGTATAAACCATTCCCAAATGGGTGGTTTATGGCATTGTTGCACCCCTATTAAACCCAATAAACCATCCCCAAAATCACCGACCATCCATGGTGCTTCCCATGACAGGACCTCTATCAGCACCACTTCCAGCGTCTTGGCAACGAAAGCAATCTCGTTCTGACAATCTGGGGCCCTTCGTTGGGACATCATAGAAAAAACGGTTGAAAACCAATGAGAAACCATAGAGAAACATGATTTAAGCATAACTAATGCAGAACTACCGTTTGGGTGGTATCGAAGGCCCAGAAAAAGGCGCCACATTTCAGAGTTTATTGTTGATATAATTACACGATCATTCCTTCATATATCTTGGATATCGTCATTGTTGCTTCGGCGCACTGGCGACCGCAGGATGTTTCGACTCTGTGACCTTTTGGGAACTTAAAATGATTTAAAATTACATTTTGGCCCATTGTTGGACCCAAGGTATCATATTTGTTGGCTATATATCCCATGAAATATATTGGAAATGTTTGGAAATATCACCATAGAATATCCCCACTCATCCCCACTCACAGTTACATTTACCCAACAATGTCCTGTTCCCGACAACATCGCGCCTGCTTGCCTACGCTGAGGTACCTCGAGTGAGGCCTGGCGCAGGGTGTTGGACCAGCCGTGTTGACTGTATGGGCTTTGCTTTGAAACATGTTCGCCCCAACCCGGACGTTGCTCCACACTTTCAATCGTCATGATCATCATCATCATCGTAATAATAATAATAATCATCATCGTCATCATCATCATCGTCATCATCATCATCATCATCATCGTCATCGTCATCGTCATTGTCATTGTCATCGTCATCGTCCATCATCATCATCATCACCATCATCATCATCATTATCATCATCATCATCATCAAATTAAAAAAAGCCACCCCCTCTGAACAATATTATGGTGACTGGGGTAATAACATCAACTTTATCTTCATGAGGGTTCCAAATTCGCCAGCCCCTCTGAACAATATGTTGACTGCGCATAATATGGCTATTTTGAGTGGGTTCCATCTCCCTTGATGGCCCTCGTTGGAGAGGAATAAAGTCAAAACAAAAACGGCCTGGGTAAATTATACCACCCCTATTTTTTTCCCTTTACCATGGAAAAACAAGGCAACCGGTTGACTCGGCGCCCTTGTAATTGTAAGGGTGTTTGAAATTCTGATTTTTGAGGTTAAGAGACAGAATGCTGGTATTTGCAGGAGTCGTCAAAAAATGTTTACAACATGGACATTCATTTCGATTGGCAGGCGTGTGACTCAAGAGTGAAAATTTGCGTTTCGCCTGCGCGGTGACTCGATTTTGCTCTTCAAGGGTTAAAAAAACATTAGAAATTTGTGATTTTCAATCAGTCGAATTTGGGCAATGGTTTGGTCAAGTTGAAAGGCATCAAAAATGTGCCTGCCTCTGAGATTGTGAAGCTTTATGATGTCCTTCAGAAAAGCCACCTGCCCACTGACTTGAAAACCACTTTGACAGACCTGTTGGATGGAAAAGCAGCAGGGATAGAGACCAATTCCAACAACACAGTCACATCTGTGAGTCAGAAGTTGGATCATGTCGAAAACTATTTGACAGCAGGTGAACAAGAAGCTTTGCAAAGAAAAAGCTCTTGGGAAGGTGCTGCAATCCTTTCCTCCCGCCTCAGACTGCTTGGAGTCATGTCGATGAAGGAATCCAGAAAGAAAAAGGCTGTTGGACTTCTGTGCTGGTATGAGATGCAAAGAGGCGGTCAGCCTCCAACTCATGATTCAAGCTATGCTTTGGCACAGCATATGCTCCAAAGTTTTCAAAGCAGTCCAACCCAGACACCATTGGGCGCAATGACTTTGCAGGAATATCCCATGGACCCGAAAGAGCTGAGCCCATCACATTTGCAAGCCAGCTATGGAGATGACAAGCCATGCCCCCAAGACTGTCCAGGATTGGCGAACTTGATGAAATTCAACTTGTGTGTCAGAAGTACCTGTAGCAAGTTGACCATCCCAGAAAGCACAGCAGAGCCAGCAGCTCCAGAAGCAGCAGCCTGCAGCTGCACCTTCGATGCCTTCAATGGATCATATGGCATATGCCTTGGCCCAAAGAGTGTGGAATCAGTTTTGCAGGCAGAGTGAAGAAGTGCTTGCCCAAACTGAGCCAAAGCTTACATTTTTTCCCAAGAACCATGGACCTACCAAGACTGGTGAAAAGAATGCTGAAGCTGCAGCATTGGCTGTACCAGAAACAAAGCAGCCTTCTTTACCTCCTACTGCTCCAAGCACACAAGTTGCTTCTGAGCCACAGCAGGCACTTCCAGCTCTTGAGGATGCTAAAAGCTCAGCAGAAGCAGAAGAATGCAAAACCCTCGAGGACTGTGAAAATTATGTTTATGATGCTTTGAAAACCAAAGAGGCAAACAAGGCCAAGGCAAAAGCCAAAAGCGCAGCTTCTGTGAAACAGAAGGGTGGCATGAAGAGACCTGCATCTGCCTTGAGTAAGGGCCCCCAAGCAGCTGATGCAGATGTTTCTCTTGGGGGAAAAAAATCCAAGCCTGACTTCCACCTAGGCTGTAGCAAATGCAGAGGTGCCAAGTTTGGATGTGCCAAATGTTTGAGCCCAAATTTCAATGGCAAGAGAATGACAAGGGCTGAATGGAAAGCAGCCAATTCCAAGAAGAATGGCAATAAGAAGAAGTGAAAAGCTTGCTCACCAGAAGCATAGCCTGGCAATGGCCCCTTCCCCAGCTTTTGGGTAGATCAATGCGAAAAAGCTATGAAGGGCAGCTGATTAGTGAAGGGCCTGTGTGGCTGTGAGAGCAACTTTCACACAAAGTTGGGAAAAGCCTCTATTTCTCTTCTTGGGAAGGAGAATTGCTTGCATGCTTTCTAGCCAAGCTAGACTCATGTTCACAGCTTTTTTCCTAGGCAGCTTGCTTAAAGCTAGTCTTTTTGCAGCCAAGCCAGCATGTTCAAGGCATTGTGTTTGAGTTAGCGAGTTTAGGCCCATGTGTCTTTCCAACTGCTGTCATTTTTCAACCAAACCAAATTCTGTTAGTGGTTCCATTATGTCTGACCAGAAGCTGTTTAGGCTTCAAACATGTGCTGAACCGAGCACAATGCCAAACACCATAGTTGGCCATGCTGTCACCAGCACTGGCAATGGCATTTGGTGGATAGTGCTGCTGTGGCACAATGGCTGGAAGTCTTGGTGGCTAGGTCGCTATTAATTTGCTGGGTGTTTTTTTGTTTTTGTAAAGCCATGTGGTGAGACTTGGCCCACCCAAGGTGGAAAAATGACCCTGACACCGAGCTGAGCTGGAATGGCTATAAGGTGGTGAAGAAGGAATGGGTCACACTTGCTGGCATCACCTACAGGGTTGCTGAATATGATGATGGCCATATGGATTGGTGCCTGGGCTTGACAGGGTGCAATTGTGCCTGTTCTTTTTAAAATGATTTTCCCCCTATAAGATGGAGAATGCCATTGAGAAGGTGGTTGCTGAATGACTTGAACTTGCTTTTCGAAGAAGACCCAATGGAAGATGGCATCTCTCAGGGCCACCACTCCAACAAGCTGATGTTCACCCTTTTTGGCAAAAGTGAAGGCTTGGATGATGCACAGCCCTCTTGGATCGAAAGCACGATCCCAAGGCCACAGCTGATGTGACAGCAGAAAGACATGGAAAAAAAATCTGGAATGGTGTGTTTATTGTTTGGTCATGGTTACTTTTGCAGCTTGTTGAAGCTCATGGTTTTGACAGCTTGTTTAAGCTCATGTTTGTGTTTTTGGAAAGTTTGAAGCTCATGTGAATGAAGCTCTTGTTTTGGCAGCCTATAGGGCTCATGCTTCAGTATTTTTTAAGGCACACTCTTTTGCCAGATTTTTGTAAATACTAATTTAGCAGTTTCTAGATTTGAGGCAGCTTGGTAAAGCTCATGTCTTCAACTTGTCACATGTGCAGCCAGCCTGGTCCCCACCATGCTTGACAGCACATGATTTACCACCAAAAGCTGCAGATCACACAAGGTACCAGTTAAGGGCATTAAGCTTTCTCACACGAACATGCATTCAAGCATTGGAAGCTACCCGGTTTGTTGCCAAGCAGCCATGGTACAGGCTTGTCTGCAATGGCAAAGCACCTTGCCCATGGCCAGCATGCTGCTGGCACCTCTTCTTCTTCTTCTTCCAAGAGA